GTGTTGGAAACCTTATGATGACCTGAAATCTATCTTTATCTGTAGATATGAAATTCAAAATTCAAAAAAATAATACAGCTCGAGAAAATCTATGAATTCTTAGAAATCTTGAAGATAGACGGTCTAAATAACTTGTTACGAAATGTACTATTTTAAAGACTTGAAATTCTTTTGTCTTCATATCCATGCATCTTGAGGTCAAGATGATCAATTGAAGGGTTTTCCAACATCGCTCTCTTTTCCAACATCGCTCTCTTCTATAAGATTTTGAAGTGCAACTTAGTTCAAGCTTGTTACAAACTTTATCCCAAAATGAAATGTTAGAAAGCGAAAGGAATAAGGAAATTTAGACGACAATAAATAGCATTATAGATCAGGGGTTTTCCATGACTGAAAATTCATCTGTGATTTAGGGTTTTTTATATCAAAATTATCATTTTGAATTAACTAATTTTCAATTGCAATTTGAGGAAATGACATTTGTTGTATGGGGAGAGGTGATTGGTTGGCCTGAATTACAGTGGGGGAATGTTCAACTTATGTGGGCAGTTTGATTGTCCAAATTTCAATTATACAACAGTCTCTATCTCAGCCTCTCTTTCAACAACTTTCTTTACACATGCAAACGCATGCAAATGAATCAAAAGCATATATCTTAATGTGTATGAAGACTGCTAAAATATGATCAGGTGTTTTTAAACTGGTTGCAAACACTTTCCTCAATATCTAGGGCAACATTGACACTCAAAAATGGATCCAAGTGGTATCTACCCAAGCACACATTCATAAATTTTTATACAGATGAGCGAGAGAGACCCCCAAGCACCTATTCATAAAATTGTATACTAATCAATGGGCTGAGGGGGAGGGGAGAGAGAGAGAGAGATGTATAGGATAGAGGTCTTAATATTTGGAGGTGGAGAATTATAGATGGCTGCAGCCAAATCCGGAAAGGTCTCAGAAGACAGCCTCTCTGACTTGTGCTTTCAATTTTTTTTTTTTTTGACAAGAATACTGAATATTATTCAATCAACGGAAGTATTATAATGATAGAGTTAAAATAGATGAGAAGAAACAACAGATGGATCTAAAGATGCACCTCTCTTGGCCAAGTCGTTTGCAATGTGATTCGCTTCTCTGTAAACATGATTGAAGCTAAAATTGCAAACGTAAAAAATACCCATAGCTTTCAGCCACAGTGATCTCAGAAGCCAAGGACGATCTCAGAAGCCAAGGAGGTCTTGACACACAGCTACACCAATTGATAATTTTGCTAGAATTCTCTTCTATGATCAATGCACTACCTAATTCCTTCTCCTTCCAAATCATCACCCCCTACAACAGTGCTGCCATTTCCACATGATTGGTTGTAACATCTCTATAAGGTGTAGCATAGCAAAAGAAAGCATTAGCAGCACTGTCTTTACATACACCACCGCCCCCTGCCCTCTCTGGATTGTCAAATGAGGAACCATCAAAATTGAATTTTAAGCTTCTCATAATTGGTGGGATCCAAACATACCTTAGTCTTTACCTTGATAAATTTCAGAGATACCAAATATGCCATATTGTACTCTACATCAATCCGGGATACTCGCCAACCCTCCTTTGTCACACTAAACCAACTCCAAGTACAAAGTAAATTTTTAATTTTCAATTCTCCCAACCCCACATACACTCCATCAAAAGTCCTTCGATTTCTCTCTAACTATATCTCCCATAAAATAGCTCATCTGAAGATATCCCACAACATTCCACCAATCTTCGGAATCCCACACATTTTCATCGGATTGACCATATGAAACACCGAGGAAGGTAAAGGCAATAACACCCCTACTTTTTGCATCGCCCAATACCATTAATGATAAATATAGGAGCAATGCAAAAATAGGCGATATGCATTTTTCTCACCATTCTTGCAAAATAAAAAACATTTACAATGACCTTTCTTATTTTTCTAAGGTTATCTGCTGTTAGAAATTTGCTTTGAGCCAGAACCCAGATAAAAATCTGACCTTATGAGGAATTCGCCACTTCCAAATCTTTTTAAGTATAAGCTAATTCCAGTGTACTAGATCGTGGAACAATAAGTGACATGCAAATTTAACTAAGTATGCACTGTCAATCTCAAGCTCCCATACAACCTCATCTTCTGCATTATTAGAAATATGGATTCCTTCCATAATTTTTAATAAGTTCAGATACTGCTCTCTAGCAATTAGAGGTAAGTGATTGTAAATGCAGTTAATATTCCAACTAAAGGCTGCCCAATTAAACCATTTTTGATAGAGAATAGTAAGGCCCATCGAATAATAGTATATGAGACGGTAGATCTGCATAAACAAATATTCTCCTCATGCACCATCGGTAGAGCCACTTGAAATTGCGCAAACACTAAACTGAAACCAGAAAAACACCAAAAACAAAGAAACAAAAAATAAACCAATCCAAAACTGTTTGGAGATACTTTGATTAATTCATGCTCATCCAAAAGAGTAGACAAGGTCCTGGAAAGCCAACAAAAACCACAACATACAATCTAAAAATCCATCAGAATCAGACTAGACCACAGTTGTTGAACTCAGCTGGAGGTCCAACGCATCCCAACCAGATTTGGGCTAGATTTGATCCAGCAATGCAGTATGCCTCACTAGGCGTGGCGAGAAGCCTTGCTTCACTTATCCTTTTTGAGTCCGATTTTTTTTGGGCGACTCCGCCTAGCCTAGAAAAGTCATTTTCTCTTCAGGAATGACCACCGGTTATGTTGATGGAATACGATTTTCATGTATTTTCTACAAACCTAAACTTTATAGAAGGTTGAATCCTTTGACCCATTCAACCCATCAAACCTTATCAAATCCCAGCATTCTTGGCCGCAAGCTAATTAGAAGCCATAATCCCAATGGAATTGGTGCCTAATTGAAGCCTATATAAACTCCCCCTTAGTTCATTTTAATTCATGACCTAAAATCCCATAACAAAATCCTTTGGTTAGAGAAAACCGTAGGAGACTCAAGTCTAATCCTTTTCAACCCCAATTCTCTGTGAAACCCTAAATTGAGAAAAGTAACACGCCCTAATCACCAAAACCGTGGGAAGAACATGGCTTAGGTATGATTAGGCTAATTCTTTAAGAAAGTAGAAGGCAAACAAAGTAAATTAAGCCTAGTCTGATATGGGTCCCAACACTGGATTTTGGGTGTCCTGGGCCAACTTGCTCCGTCCAAGCCGGTTTTACCAACAGTGTGTGAGGAGAAGATCCGTTCCTACAGATCTACCTTCTCATATAATATAATTCGACGGACCCCACTATTCTCTATTTGTACTTTTAATTGTTAAGTTGAAAGCCTAATTTACATAAGATTTATTATGAGATCTTTCCAAAATTTGGCTATGAACAATGCTATATGTTCTTTAGGCATGCGGGCTGCAATAATTTGGAACATCAGTTTTGAGGGAGAGAAGCATAAGAGACATCAAAAATATTAGAAGCTCGGGTTTCATATCTATTCAGTGGGTAAAGTGCATGGAAAACCATTTTTCTGTAATATTTTTTTTTGTAAGATCAATATAGATGTTGCGTACCCAAATATATGGTTTTTGGGATCAATGCATTTTTACTTCTTTTTCAGTTGCAAGGGTTCAAGCAGATGGTTCTCCAGGGCACCAGGTTTAGTCTGGCACTATCTGAGGGGTTCCTTTAAACAGAGTCCAGAACACTTTCGGTGGAAATCGATTATAACATTTCTGTGCTCGAAATAAAAGTAACTTTTGGATACGTCGATGTTAGAGACGAATAAAGATTAGGGATTGCATACAATGAGACCATTTAACTTGAATATAAGGTGGTCCCAATTACTTAGAACCATGATGTGAAATTTGATATTTTGAGTGAAAGTTCAAAATTTTTTTTTTTTAAATTTGAGTTTGGTCAATAGAATAATTGCAGCCTCCCAATTTCACATCCAATGATCAAGATTAATTGTGACACCTCGTATCAAAGGTAAATAGTCTCATTCTATACTTTTTCTAAAAGGATTATTTGTCAACAATCGAACTAATGTTTCATGAAGTACTATCCGATGATACTCTCGTACATCTTCTCGATCAGTTCAATGCCAAGGGTCCCACATAATTTTTTTGAAAAAACTCAAAATGAGTATCCCTAAGAGGCAAGAAAAGAAATCTCTTTTCCATAATAATTGTGTAGTTTGATAAAAAAAAAAAATCCTTGCTCGGTTTACCCTTTGAATATTTGATATACTTTCAATAGATTGAGGATAATAGAAACTTTGAGACATAAAATTGCTAATCAAAGGTAGCATTGTAAAGGAAAATGAAGAATAAGTATGTCATCGAGCTCAAGAAACCACACTAAAGAATAGAATGAAAATGGGAAGTTAATTGTTAAAACTTAAATTTAAATGAAGTTACAAATAAAAAAATGGTAATATTGAATTTTTGGGATACGCATCTCTCCATATAAAATGTGGATAGACATCATCAAAGTTTCTTATCGGGTGCTATCCAAATATCACACACTCCTATCTGTAGGAGTCACACAGTAACTCTAGGAGAAGCAAATTCAAGGAGAGTCTATCCCTTGGGCTAGCATCGCGAGGTATCCAAACATATCCTAAGCGATATTTTGGCAATAAAAATTAAAAAAAACCATAATTTTCATTTAAATACTAAATTAGAGAAGTTCATTTCATATCTAGGGGTGGCAATAGGTTGAGTCGGACCTGGTCTCAGACCCGAAAAATGATATGAGATCCAAACCTGGACCTGACCAGACCTGAATTCGCTAGACTCATACCCAAACCCAGACCCGAAAATATAGTATGGGACTTGGATCCGTCCAGACTCAACACAAAAATTAAAATATCTACATATTTCATATATATTTCATATATTGAGATCCAAAAAAAATATTACCAAACCTGAAGCTGAATAGTATTTAGGACCAAGATTTGGGCCTAACCACATCCGCCTGGCCAAATTTTTGCCGTATAACCAGATCCTGGCCCGTGGGTCCCGAGCGCGATCAGGTTCCATTGCCTCCTCGTTTCATATCTAGCTCGTCAGATGCATGTCGTGGAGAAGGTCGTGTAGAAAGTAAAAGGCAACAGAAGTATTAAACAAGGAGCGCTCATCGCTTCTAAACAATGCTACGTTGCACCACTTCCACTCCAATGGCTTCTCTCTCTTCATTTCACTCAGTATCCCACTTCAAATTCCCTCTCTCTCCCTTCACTAAGGTACGCCCTTTCTCCCTCTTCTTATCTTTTCTTTCTCTGCAAGTCCCTGCTTTCCAAAACCCTGATTTTTTATTGTGATTTAGAGGGTGGTGGCTTCTGTTAAATGCTCTTCGCTTCCATCTCCAGAGCCTGAACCAGAAAGAACTTCTTCGCTCTCTTTCTCTGCCTACAAATGGTGCACTGGGCTTGGCGTTCTAGGGTTTTTGGAGACTGGGTACTTGACCTATGTGAAGCTCAGCAATGGCGATGCTTTCTGTCCCGTGGGCGGTGGAGGGTGTGGGGATGTTCTCAACAGCGATTATGCTATTGTTTTTGGTAAGTTTATTGTCCACTCTCTCTCTCTCTCTCTCTCCCAGTTTGTTCATTTTTTTTTCTCACTTATGTTTCTCTCTTATAATTCCAATTCAAGAGTGCATTTGTGGCAGAGAGATACTGTAGGGGGCTGCTACTTCGATTTTTAACATAGTTGAAACCTCTTTCAAACTTCGTTTTTGGTTAGTTTGCAAGAATTATCTTTAGATTATAACAGTATAAGTTTTTGGTAATCTTTGCTCCATTTTTGGTGTGGAACCGAATTGTGAGTTGGGAATTTTGTGTACAAAAGTTATGTTTTTTCTCTCCTTAATAACTTCACGTAAATTGGGTTCTCTAATTTCATTCGTTTGTGATTCATAGTAATAAGATGATAAGTTTTTGGTAGAAAGAAATGGGGGCTTTTAATTGGGGATAAGGCCTTCTTAATTTTTATATGATTGCTAGGTTGGATGCTGTAAATTTGAAATGGGTATTTGTTAAATGTCACTATGTTCCTATAGAAAAATTGTAGTATCTTGATTCCTGTTGACCTCGTAAGTTCAAGAATCTGTTTGTACTGAATCTGGTGCCACTTTTAGAAGGCTGATATAGTTGGTTCGCAAACAATTTGGGTGCAAATGCATCGTATAAAGGTTTAATTTCTGAATCTTTTTCCTTATAACCCTTGTGTTTTCTCCATTATTGAAAATCCATTCTGATTATAGGCCATGGAATGTATGTTCATGAGAACTTTATTATTTCGTCGGTCATGGATAAGAAACCATATAGATTGTGGAGCCAGAAAGCAGCTAAGAATGGCATTTTATTGCATCTGTCAGAAAATTAGAAATCCTCCTTGGAATTTGAGTTCACCAAAAATGATTATTATTTTTTAATCTATCAAAGAAGAGCCGCTTATCTGTGTTTTCATCTCTATATCTGAGGATGGGTCATATTCACAGTTTTAAATCCCTTCCACTATATATCTTTTCCCAGTTTCATCATGTGCGCAATAGATCAATCTAAACAAACAACATTGCTACTGAAAGGTTTGAAAAGGAATAACGGTTCCTTGTTTTGCATTTCTCAGGTGTTCCTCTACCACTAATTGGTATGATTGCATATGGATTGGTGGCCTTACTTGGTTTTCAACTGTCAACAAAGGATGTGCCACTTGGGTCTGCTGTGATCAACAGTCGCCTGGTTCTTCTTGGAGTCATTACCTCGATGGCGGCAGCTAGTTCTTATTTTATGTACCTTTTGGCCACTAAATTGGCAGGGGCTTCATGTTTATATTGTGTGACATCTGTGATTCTGAGTTTCACCTTATTCTTTATCGCTCTAAAGGTATTGTATCAATCTGTTACACAAGAAGAGTGTTGTTTTGTTGTAATCATGGGAGCTTTAATTCATCTCTTTTGATTCGCCATGTGACAGGACTTTGATCTGCAAGAAATACAAAAGTTTGCTGGTCTTCAACTATTTGTAGTTGTTTTAGTGATTGGCGCATTGAACACTTCATATAGCTCATTGAAACCCGACATGATTGGGTGAGTAGCATGTTGTCATCTACTTAGGTTGGTCTTGTTTGATAGCTATATGAGGGATTCTAGCCTGCAAGTGTAAGGACAACGAGCTCTGGGCTGATGGGTAGAACCTGAGTAACATGGTTCACTGATTCAATATTGTGAGCTACATCTTACATTCAATTTTTTCATGAGTTGCATAATGACCACTAACATGGTCAACTGATTCAATTTTGTGAGCTACATCTTACTTCCAATTGTTTCATGAGTTGCATAATGACCACTAACATATAGACAAAAGGCTGCCCTTTAAATCTCACTATTGATGTTTTTCCGGTCATTTTCTTTTCTTCTTAATTTTTTCTGTTATTTGTTTTTCTAGTTACTCTCTCAAATAGCATTCAAGGGAATGTCAGAATCTTAAGAGAAAAATATACAGTTATGTAGAAATCTAAATAGCTTGTGAACCAACTTCATGTGAAGCAAATTTTATGGCTATTTTTCTAGGAATTTTTGAAGCTATGGATAAGTACAGACAAAAGATATGTGCAGTGTGTACATTTTTGAAGAATTTGTGCATGAAGGATTCATACGGTATTATAGCCCCAAATGATTATGGGGGACTAGCTATCACCCAGTTTCTTTTATTCAATATATGCTTCAGTTCTTCTCAGTTCAAGTTGCACCATAACCATTTGCTACTGTTGTTTTTTAATGAAATACCTGAGTACGTGTATTAATATCTGAGATGGCACTTCAGGCAATTGGACAAGGCATTCTTTTTTTAACATTGGTTATGGCTTCCCACTGATATTACTCAGTGTGTTACTTCTCAATGATTATTGATTGAATGTTTGCTCTTAACTAATAGTTATAATGGTAAGCTCTAGTTGCTGTTGTTTTAGTAATCATCAGTAGTACTTTTATCAGGCTAGCTTCTTGCAACATTGTTTTTAAGGTTTCGGTCATGGCTTTCCATAGATATTACATAATTCCTGAACTTCTCATGACTCCAAACTGGTTCTATAACTTCGAGGAGCCATCGAGATAATCACTTTCCTAAAAGTGTGAAAGGAGCACTATTTAAGAAAACCACCTTGAACAACCTTGAATGCATGTGCAGCATATATAGAACGGACCAGAAAACTTTTTGAACTTTTTCATCTGCTTCATCTCATGTTCATCTAACAATCCTGGTTATTTCCCTAATTGAACAGCTTGCCAGATGTTGAGCTACAACCATTTGAGCCTGAAGTAACAACAGAGTCGAGCTCTTTAGCAATTTCCCTTGCTAATTATCTGCATTCCATTGGGGCTAAGATGTATGGAGCTTTTTGGTGTTCCCACTGCTTTGAGCAGAAAGAGGTACATTCATGCCTATGGATGTCTCTTGAAAGGTCAAATGCGAAAGCTACTTGAACATTTGTTACTCCGATGGATGTTATACATGACAAATCAAATCTAATCGTATGCTTGTTGTACAGTTTGTGCCTATTGTTAATAGGTTATGAGCTATATGACACATAATTGTAAACCAGCTCATATTCTACCTGTTGGTATTGTTTTCTCCATTGCTTTCAGAAGCCATATTTTCTGGTTAAAGTCTAGGTAACAAATTTTAGTTGTCTATTTCAGAGATTGATTCATATCAATCCAAAAGGGAGAAAGTGAAAGTTCATTTGTACTCTGATGTGTCTTTGTATCTGTTGACCCATCATGTGTTGTAAGTTGCTTCTATTTTACAGATGTAACCTTGCTTAATATCTGTTTGTTGTGGAAGTATATTAAAATAATAACAAGGTTAAAATCGTAACAAAAAGTTGGTAAATTTGTGCAAGAAACAATAAAATATATATCTTTCCTGTTGAGTCTCATTTGCTGGTTTGGTGCTTACCACCCTGTGGAGAAGTGTTTAAAGTCCGAACTTGCCCAAAACGAAGGAGATGAAATAGAAGATATTGAATAAATAACATTCGATCAAAATCGTCACTCGAGCTGTTTCATTTATCAGTAAATAACTCATAAGCTTGCACTGCCATATATTTTTTTCAATTTCCTCTGGGGCATATAATGCAATTGGAAAGATCATAAAAGTTATAAGGCAGTCAATTACTTTCGAGTTGAGATCATAACTGGAAAAAGAGAGAATATATACCTCAAATCATGGAATGGACCTTGCTGTTGAAATAATGGGAGTAGAGATGAAGGAACAGATGACCATGGATTGAGATGACTGGTATGCTTTCGTTGTCTTTTGCAGTCCTGTTATCTTTATAGGGCATGATTATAGCAATGGCTGGAAACCTTTTCACCATTCTACGTTTGGAACTTTGGATACTAAATAGCAGTTTTTGCTTATAAATTATGAAGACTCAGACTTTACGGGGTTGGTACAGATGTTTGGTAAAGAAGCATCAAAGATCGTGGACTACGTTGAATGCTTTCCTGAGGGGTACAGGAAAGGAATGCAAGTGGCAAAGGTTTGCAAAGATGCTGGAATTGATGGTTTCCCCACTTGGATTATCAAGGATCAGGTAAGAACAACTTATTTCATAGTACTACACCCACCGTCTCTCTCTCTCTCTCTCTATATATATATATATATATGTGTGTGTGTGTGTGTGTACATATGTGTGTGTCTTATGAAAGGGTGTCATGACCAGGTGTTGAGCGGTGAGCAAGACTTGACAGAGCTTGCACGTGTATCTGGATTTGTATTGGTTGATTCAGCTCCTAAATGAGGTTGTGGACTTAGTATGTCCGTTACTAAGTGGCTTGTACAGTGCTACCTTTTGTATGAACAGAGAGCTCCTATGAAAAAATCAGGTCTACAACTCAGATCCATACATATATTGTTGTAGAGCATGGAATGATTAGAAGGGGTATCTAATTTTTTGACTCACTCCGGACAAGTACATAGCATATGTATCTTGAATGCTGAATTGTATCAGTGCATATAAAATCCCCGACATTGGCCTGGCCGGTGACGTTTTCTGACCAGCAATGTGGTATTTTGATAGCATAAAGGAAATGCTTTTTTTTTGGGTTAAGTATTTGGTGCTTTTTACCATATTGGACATTTGTATCCTGGGTTTCTTCTCCCCTTTGGGATGAATTTCTTTCAAGATAGAATTGGGTTTGCCCAACAGCGGACTGTGATCGCCTTCTTATAAGACTGCAGTTTTTGTACTTCCCAATAAATAATCTTTCCAAGGAAAAAAAACAAAAAAGAAAAAGGAAAAAATGATTCTTTGTCTACTTCTAAATAACGCCCTTCCTTAATGGAGATGTTCGGTTGTTTAAACGTGGCTCCCATGACCGATGCTGCATGGCATTACCTTGTTGAAACATGAGTTCATGGAAATTTAGGCCTTGTTGGGGCAGCCCAACAGTTCTAGCGAGGAAAGGAGTTAATTGTAAATGGTGGCTGAACATTTTCTTTTTGTAGGGTTCAGATGTTTGGCAGTGCTGCTATGTGCGGTTCCAAAAGTCCTCTTGCGTGAATATAAGAGTAGTGGCTGAAGGAATAAAACGGCCTTATGTATCTCGTGATTACAGTGAATCATGTACCTTACAATTTAAAAATGTGTACATTTGGAAGAATTTAGGTGTGGCACCCATAAGCGATAAGATGAGATAGAGTAGTTTAATATGGTTGAAAGTAGTAAAAAAATGCATGAGGATTTATGGTCTCAATGTGTGTAATAGATTAGAATGGCTGATCATGATTCGTGTAGTCAATTCCAATTAGTTGAAAGTTCAAAAAAAGTTTTATTGATGTTTATGATGTATCTTATAATTGGACACTGATATTTTCTTAATATGCTGCCAATCTCCTCTATAGAACCTCCTTTCTAGGCATATAAGAGCAGCAAATCTTGATATTTTCCTAGTTCTTTTGCAATCTCTGTACCCCGTGTCCATTTTTTTATTTGCTCCTATAAGGGATGTGAGCCTTCCCCTTACTAGTTTGGATACTGGTACAGGTGCTACTGAAATTTCCATTAGTGCTGTCACACCCCCTTGCGGCCTGATGTTAACAGCTATTCCACCGCTCAAAGTGTACAAAAGTTTCGAATACTATGCTTTCTTGTTTTCTTGTTCCCTTTCTCTATAATCAGTTTGTTGTCTCAGTAAATATATTCATTATACGCTATTCGAGTTTTTATTCACTAAGTGGGCAAGAGAGATTCTCTGTTTTTCAAGCAATGTGGGAAAGAGAGACTGTGATTAGCCCAAAAATGTTTTTTGTCATTCATGAATGAGCCAATTTAATAGAAAATGACCACACTCTAGAAACAAACCCAAAATAAAGGATTCTGCACATGAAAGTATGGATTCATTATATATTAACTCATTTTGCCAAATAGAAAGCCAAGTGCTTAGTTTTAAGGGTCCAAGTCCATACCAATAACTTTGTTGGTATAAAATAAGTTCTCTATGGAAAAAAACCCTGATGCATATGGTCAAGGCAACAACATGCAATGTGGATCATCATGGTTCAACTCAATATTGTTCCTTAGAATATCAAGTTTCTACACTTTGTGAACTTTGTGATATGTAATTGAACATCTCCCTTACTTATGCTTTGGAAAAGGTTTTCTAGCATAGAAAAGATAATTAGCTATTGGAGTTTGGAAATATTTTTCGGTATCAAACTTTTTGGGAAATTTATCGAAATACGTCTAAAAGATGAACTATTTTATAGTTACACGTATCTTTTTGATTTAATTTTAAAAAATCATTCAAAATTCACGTGATCATAATTTATCAAAATGCATCTAAAAGATGAAGTATTTAATACTTTCCCAAACTTTTTATTTCATTAGTTATGGAGTTGTGACATATGGACAAACATAACGAACACCTACTGTCCGTCTAGATTATGATGCTATCTTGTAAGTGCCAGCATCACCATCCAACTAAAGATCGGAGACCAGCATGTGCCCTGTATTAAATCGATGCATTGCCATTCATCTAATGATTAGACGGTGACAACAGGGACGGTTTGATTAATGGTTGTGGAGCTTGTTCTTGGTAGGCAGCCCTTCCATGAATTCTCAAAAGCCAGGCCTAAGAGGGGAAGTGGAAATAGTTTTCAACCAGCAATTTGGTTACATCTTACGTTGCCAGAAGTGCATGTACTCTTGTCGACTATTTTCTATGAACAAGAATATTTGTGACCTCTTTATATTAAAAGTAAATGACCCTTTCGAATACTTTTTTTTGTTTTGACTGCTCATTATTGTATTCTCATCTCACCAACCCTATTCCATTGCTTAATTCGAAGTGGGATTAAAATCTAATGCAGTTTCGTCTACTCATTCATTTTCAACAGGTTCCACAAAATCTAACTAAGCGCGCTCTCTCTTTTCCTGATTTGTTCCGTGAGTATGCTCTCTCTTTTCCTGCTCTCTCTTTTCCTGATTTGTTCCATGAGTATGCTCTCTCTTTTCCTGATTTGTTCCATGAGTATGTATACTATGCTTCCTCATTTAGCATATTTTACTTCTACTCCTTATGTCAAAAGATTTATTTGAGAAGATTTTTTCAATTTGAAAATTTGGGAACCACTTATAAACTACTAGATGATAATTTTCAAAAAAACCCTTAGATATCACCACTTAAAAATTGGATGGTCTCTATTCAATCAATCTCAAGACTTTATTTTTTCATGTACATCAATGGGACAACTAGGAACTTGTTTTTATCGAGGTTAATCTAGAAGAGAATACAATCTCAAATTTTGTGTCCTAAAGTTAATATTAGGTGATGTTTTAACGAAGGGAGTAAGTGGACATTATACTCCCACTGGAGTAGAATATCTTGATTTACAATCCCCCTCTCTCTCTCTGGTCCCTGCTTTTTCTACTACAGATTTCCTCTCTGTAAAATTGCAGGCTACCTCTTTTAACCTCGACTTCCCCTCATATGTTTCCAACTGTAGATGAGATGGGCCAAGAGAGTTTACGCCAAACTTCCCCCATTAACCCCATCTCTTCCTCTCTTTTCCATTCACTCTTGCCCCACCATTGCTGCAAAAGATCCCAAATGGAAACTGCAAAACCTCTCCCAATGCAAGAAACTGCATGCCCAAATGCTTGTCTCTGGTTCTCTATTCTCAGATCAGGAAACCAACCTCATCAAACTCTTTACCATGTATTTGTCAAGGGCCCAATGTCCAAGCGTCCACGAATTGATCGATCAATTTCCTCAAAGAACGACCTCCTTTTACAACCACGTTCTCAGGGAGCTACACAATTTTGGCTTGTTCTTGGATGCTCTCTGGATTTACAAGAAAATGAATTCCTTTGGCATAAAACCGGATTGCGAAAGCTTTCCTTATGTGTTGAAGTCATGTGATTCTAAGGTTTTTGATGTTCGGCAAATCCAAACCGAAGTGATAAAATTTGGGTTTGATTCGAACCCATTTGTGGGTGAATGCTTGGTGTCAGCTTATGCAAAATGCTTTCTAATCAGAGAAGCACAGAGCGTGTTCAATTCAATTCCTCAAAGAGGTGTTACGGCTTGGAATTCATTGGTTGTTGGGTACTTTCAATGTGGTGACTATGAGAAAGGACTGGACCTCTTTAGGTGCTTGAGGCAGCAAGTGAAGGCTGGTAGGGTTACAGTGGCTAAGGCACTTGGTGCCTGTGCTTCTTTGAGAGCTCTAGATGAAGGTAAAGATATCCATGAGTTTATATTGAAAACACAATTTGAAACTGATGCTTTTGTAGAGACTGCCCTGATAGACATGTACGCAAAATGTGGTTGTGTTTCGATGGCAATTGGCTTGTTTGAAACCATGCCGAAAAAGGACTTGGTTACTTGGAATGCACTCATAACTGGTCTTGTAAGGAGTGGCAATGGTGTTGATGGCCTGGTTCTGTTCCATCAGATGAGACTAACCACACATTTGAAACCCAACGAGGCCACGCTAGTGAACTTGACTCTGGTCTGTGCTGAATTAGGGGCTCTTGACGTAGGGAAGAACCTTCATAGTTATGCTTTGAAAGCTGGCTTTTGTTCTCATGTGAATGTGGGCAACTCTTTCATGGCCATGTATGGCAAATGCCATCATGTAGATGATGCATGGCTGTTGTTCCGAACCATGCATGACCGAAGTTTGGTGTCATGGAACACCATCATATCTATCCACACACAAAACAAGCGAGCTTATTGTGCACTCAAACTCTTTGTTATGCTGAGAGAGAGTGAGACACGACCTGATTGCACCACCCTCATGTCGGTTCTCCAAGCTTGCTCTCTTTTTGCAGCCTTAAAGCAATCCCACGCTGTGCATGGTTATGTGATAAGAGGGGGTTTCAGCTCAGATGTTCGTGTGGGTACTGCACTTGTAGACGCATATACAAAATGTGGGTATTTATGCCTATCTCGCCAAGCTTTCGATGAGATTGTCGTTGCCGATGCCGATGCCATAGCTTGGTCTGCGATGCTTGCAGGCTATGCCATGCATGGGCGAGGGCATGAAGCCCTTGAGTTTTTCACCCTTATGGAGAGCATAGGTGTGACCCCTGATCATGTTAGCTTCACCCATGTGCTCAGTGCGTGTAGCCATGCAGGGCTAGTGAGAGAGGGAAAGCAATACTTTGCACGAATGACCAATGATTATGCAATCTCCCCTCAAATGGACCATTATTCATGCATTGTTGACCTTCTGGGGCGCTCAGGGCTCCTCAATGAGGCTTATGAACTGATCGAGGCCATGCCTATTGCCCCAAACGCAGGGGTATGGGGAGCACTACTTGGGGCTTGTAGGATACACCACGATATCAACCTAGCAAAAATAGCGGCCGAGCAGTTGTTTCTGTTGGACCCAATAGACCCTGGACCTTATGTAATCTTGTCAAACATATATTCTGCGGCTGGTAGGTGGAATGAAGTCTCGAGAGTTAGGGCATTGATGAGGGAGAGAGGCCTAAAGAAAGATCCAGGGTGTAGTTTTTTCGAGTTGAATGGTAAGGTCCATTCATTTGTGGTTGGAGATAGGTCACATCCTGAGTCAGAGAAAATATATGCTAGGCTTAAAACTCTTGTCGAGAAGTCACGAGAAGTTGGCTACGTTCCCATGACAGAATTTGTGCTCCATGATGTGGAAGAGGAAATGAAAGAAGAGTTGCTGTGGTGCCATAGTGAGAAGCTTGCCATTGCCTTCGGGCTTCTGACCACAAGCAAAGGAACACCCATTGTGATAACAAAGAACCTGAGGATCTGTGGTGATTGTCACAATGCTGCAAAGGTTATATCTTCTTTGGAGAAACGTGATATTACCATTAGAGATTCTAAACGGTTCCACCATTTTAATCAGGGTTCATGCTCCTGTGGAGATTATTGGTAATCTTTATATAAATTGAAGGTAAAACAAGATTCTTGTTGGTGCTCTTTATGATGTATTCAATCAAACTGCACATGTTTTTCTTTCTTTTTTGCTACATTAGATTATATTGACAATAGCATTTGAGATTCTGGGATTAATCAATGTACAGAGGAAATCATTTGAATAGGTAATAAGACCATCCTAATGACTCAGAATTATGGGTCAGTGTAGGTTCTTTGAGACAGCAAATAGGCCTTGTATTCTAAATATGCTACTTATCTACTGAGATGGAACGACAAGTCCCATAAAGCAACAATCTTTCCATGCAGCTTATCTATGCCTTATACCTAACAGACCCCAACATTTTTGTTTTCCTTTTTCTTGCTTCGTAAGAAATTAGGTTTCAAGGCCATTGATGTCTCTTTCCTTAGTTTCCTTTGATAACTACAAGTCATTGTTTGATTCGTACTGAATTCCTTTTTTCTTTTTATTGTAATTCATACCAATTTCCTATTGTCAGACTTGATCGAGATTTATAAACTGCATCAAGTTTTATGAGCACACTTTTCAATTGTGATAGTGTTCTCTCATTTTTATTCTTATAGTTGTGCCTTGGCAAATGATTATTGGAGAATTTGTTATCATAACTTATTTTCCTGCAGTTTAGGAACACACATGCCATAAACAAGTTCTCCATAGACTTACAAATATTAGTGACACAAAGAAATGCCCTAACAGGGGCGCCATGCGGCCCTCCAATTTTAGGAAATAATCTTATAATCCACTGGACATATACTCATTGCCCATTGGGATCATCATTGTTTGGTGAAATGATGGATAGACATGGAGAGGACGTGGGACCCATCAGAATATCACATGGCCTAATAGCAGTCCCTGTCTCTCTCCATCACCTTCCATCAAATCATTGCCTGATGATGGCCCCAATAGATCATGAGCATAGTCCATTTGATTATAATGCGCTTTCCTTTATTGCTTTGCCTTTGCGTGACCTTCCACTGTTATTCAAGTTTCCACTTTCCCATATCTCCAATTTCTTCCTCAAACTTGGATGCCAAACAGTCTGTAGAGAATATATGTGAAGACTCAAATCTCCGGGCTCCTCCCATTATGGGCATGGCTGCACCCACTAGTACTCTGCTTTGATACCCTGGAGCATAAGTCTGGCCCAAAACTCCATCCACCTTAGTACTCAGATTATAGAACCTGAAATTCACCTCTAAATGGGAGAAACAATCTTCATTTGTAATTTCATACCCATGAGTTCTCGAATCCTCTTGAGTAATTGGCAAGACTCGTGCTTTTATCTTGAACTGGTCCTTTGCATTCACTATGACTGAGTTTGTGTCTTCAAGGCGCCAAATTTTTAGTCCGGCATCTTTGTGAATGTGTGTTGCACCAAAGAGAGTAGGAATTTCAATGTCTTCTCCATTTAGGCTGAGTGATATATGGTCTATGGAATCATCCCATCTAGAAGCCTTTTGCGCTCCGAGATAGAGATGGTGCGAGCCAAAAATTAGGCCTATTGCTTGGACCCAAGTAAAGTCCCTCTTTTGTTTGGGACTGGTTTTTCCGATGAAGTGCCCATTGATATGTATTTTAGAATCTGAGACCAGGCAGAAGTCCTTGTCTTTCTTGCCATGGAAGTAGAATGTGATGCCATCGCCTCCTATGAACCGAGGATCTTGACACACTGCTCCGGGCTTGTCACAGGCTGTTTGTTACATTATTCATGTGAGACCCAAATTACTTGACATTTGCTTAGATTATTTTATTGGGGGCTACATGTGCTTCCTGCTCATTATTCTCATTATGGAAACTACCTTCCAATGCTTCATAGGATGGTGGAGATGGGACAGTTGGACACTTTAAAGTTGCCCATCTCCACCATCCAACAAAGGTTGATACAATAGGGATGACTGACTATGGATCCCATTTAAAGGAGTGCTACAATATACTCCTTAGAGGAAGCCATGTGTTTTGCCCTTGCCTTCATGATTTATGTGTCCTTTTGAGATTGTTACTTTCTGACAAATATGAAACCTTTGAAGGGAAAACCAGAGAGATGTAAGTAATGTCTGATTTTGAACAGGAAGTTAAATAATTTGTATGCTGCTTCAAATGTTAGGGACCAGTAATCTAGGAGTAACTACATCAATTTGTTCAAATACTTTTTGGCACTTCGAATTGAATACCTTGGCACTCGAGCAAGGTGTGTGTGGTTGTGGGTGAGAGAGAGAGAGAGAGAGAGAGAGAGAGAGATTTGTGACCCTAATCTATGTCATATTGATAAATCCTTTCACTGGCATGGTGTGAATTTTAAGTTTCCTTTTCACTGGCACACATGGAATTTTAAGGGTGGAGTCTTTAAGAAGGGCCGTCACCAATGTCGGATATTAATGTAATTTAACTTTTGCATGATATATGGGTAAGAGAAGGAAATGGGGACCAGCAATATGGGCAAGAGAAGGAACTGGAAATGAAGAGAAGGTTACCACAATACGGCTTGCAGAGCTTGCAGTCCACTTCACATAGTCGGGGGCAGCCGACGGGGCAGGCAAGAGGGACCCCATAGCAGCGGCCATAGTAAGGGTCCTTGCAACTCGCCTTCCATGCAAGGGCTTGAGAGAGAAGAAAGGCATAGAAGGTGAAGACCAGGAGAACCCTTGGAGAACCCATACTTCCTCTTCCTCTTCTTCTACAGAAACAATCAAACAATATTGAAGTTTTCATTTGATGAGGGAAGAAAAAATGAGACAGAAATTCAGATTGCCATTATTACAAGGCAGTTCTTTCTTCTGAGCATGGGTTAGTAGAGGAGATGCACTTCTGATGCAACAATTATCTGCTGGCTGTCACTGATTTTTTTAAGGTGTTTGGTGGGTGAGAATAAGATTCCTTTGCATTAGAGGACAAAGATGTGCTTTGAAGAACCGGTAGTGAACCCATAATGAATTGATCGCACCTTTGTATGAAATTCATACTGGAGAAAACTACTTTAATTACTTATGTTTGAGATGAAGTTATTAAGATTCTTTCTATTTTTCTCTTTTGTTTATGTTTTTAAATTATAGCATTATTTATGAACTCAGCTTAGTACCGAACGGTACCCCCTACTGGTTCTGCGATGGCTCAGCCAACTTAGCAAGATGCCTCAGGGGACTTGGAGGCGAACAAAATTTAAAAAATAGCACAAAAAACACAGAAAAAATGCAAGAAAAAAGTATGATTGAAGCATTAAAACTAGGGTGCAGTTGGCATATGGATGCATCCGTAGCTGTAGAGGTAATGTGCACCTTCGAATTTTATCATAGTATATAATTTTGATGTTAGTAAAAAGAAAAGACAACTTCTATGTGAACTTCTTCTCATAAAATCGTTCCCATAAAATCGTTCCTTAAATTGGTTGAAACAGATTTTTTATTTTCTTTTTCCTGAATGTTGATTTTAGATCTATTGAAAATTTAAACAGACTAAATCTGTTTGAATTAATCCATGCAACTCTATAGAAATGATTAAATATGCAACATAGATTATAATCATCATATAAAATGATTAATCTACAAAAAGAACCGCGAGCAGGCCGGGCTTAGGGCGCGTGACACTTATCACTACTTCGTTGAGACCATGGCATGTTACATGAAAACGCTGCTTTCTCTTTGTCACACAGCTGCTTGCCTAGAAGAGCTGCTCGCCCTGTAGTAGTGCAGCACAAGGTAAGCACGCCGCCTGCCTTCTCTGTCACACAGCTGCTGGCCTAGAAGAGCTGCTCACCCTGTAGTATTGCAACACAAGGTAAGCACGCCGCCTGCCTGCTGGCGGGGCGAATCAAAGTTGTCTATCTGCCCAGCAATCGGACAAAGGATACAGTAGAAAGAGCACGAGAGCCTCCTTCGATGAGAGAGCACGCATGCATGGCTAGCTTCTTCCACTAAAACTTATTAGCATACGCATGCATGGCTAGCTTCTTCCACTAAAACTTATTAGCATTAGCCGTGCTTCGTAGGGTAGTTTGGTGGAATTAGATGAATGAGGAGCTAATGAAAAAAGCTCGGGCAATGCAATGACAAAGCTGGCAAGCTGCTGGGAATGCATGGAAGGGACGGAAAGAACGCAGGATATTTTACCTATATTAATAACTTCTTTCGCTCAGGGCGGCAACAACCAAGGTTTGCCGGGACCGGGTGTCGCTATACCGAGCATATGCTCTAATTTAAACCTCAAATAAAAAAGGGTGTGTTTTCCATAAGGTTGCGACTTTAAACAATCCAATTAAGGCGCGCCTCCAAATTTTATTAAAACATATAATTTTT